TTATTATCTAGAGAAAGTATGGTAAGACCAAATCCATCAGGGGAAAAGTGTTCGCGAAGAGGCTCAGGTATCTGTACACAACTACAGACACTCCGGCGGCGAAGAAATGTCAGGCAGAAACACCAGCCGTGGGGGGATATCGAGTATTAAGGAATTCCTGATGGACAGGATGCAGCTTTCACATGTCATTTGTCATAGCTTCTCATAATCGCTTGACATCGTGGTGAAATGAGACGTTCGTCAAAGTGATGAAATTGAAGAAACTGATATATTCCCGCCCGTGGGGCAATCTTTTCATCGATTTAAAAAAAAAAAAAAATTTTAATTTTTTTTTGGGGGGGGTTGTTTTGTTTTGGTTTTGTTTTGGGTTATTTTTTTTTTTTTTTTTTTTTTTGGGGGGGGGGCTCAACACATTGTATTTCCATTTGAAAATCATTCCAGCATGTAAAATGTTTATCAAAGGCACACAAAATAGAAATGTGCAGTGTCCATTGACATTCAAGCTTCAGAAGTCAACAAACAGTTTCTTGCTCATTTTATCTCCCACACCAGACAACTCCCGGCTCCTTCAATCGCAAATATCTCGACGTCTATTCATAACAAATGGGTCTATTCTTCATCAAAAGTAAGGCAAATTAACAAGCTTTACGATTGTATAAATGACTCCATATGTCCCAAAATTCACAAGCGCCTCATTCCGCCACGACGTGACACTTAGTGTTCTCCCCCAAAAACTTGAATAGCACCAACTATTTTTTAGTTTTAGTAGAGGTTTTACTGCGCTCACAACTGCGTAAGGTCATAAGAGCGTCAGAAGATTAGAGGTGTTACAAGAGAGTAGCAAACATAAAAAAGAAGAAAGGGAAATAAGGACGGTAGATGTTTGATAGGAAAGAAGGAGCAAACCACACAAGAGCAGCCGCTAACCACCCGCAGCACCAACTCTGGTCTCAAGACAAACCAGTTATGCCATCACGAAATGCGCACTGACATCTTCTCTGAACGAGGATTGCCCACGGTTTTACTGTATGCTTTGGAATGTGGCGCGGTGAGTGACCGAGGGAGAAATAGTGGAGTTAGAGGGGATCGAGGGGATGGAGAAAAAAAACACAAATGAGGAAAAGATGAGAGAAGAGTGGATAAACATGAGATGACAACTAAACTTACGGTAAACGAAGCTGGAATGAGCAGAAAGAAGAAGGGATCGTGGTGCTAACCGGGAAGGGGGGGGGGCATGAATCGGCGACGAAATTAGGGCTATGTTTTGTTTTTGACGTTAGGCATATTATGCTGCCATCGTTATAATTGATATCGTTATGTTGCTGTTGATGTCGTCTCAAGCTGGTGGTGCTGGCAACGGTGATGTTGTTGGGGCTGGTGAAGTCTGTTTAGATGGAATGGTCTTCACTTTGTACACTTACTTTCGTTACCGTTAACGTAAGAAGGAAAAGCTTGAAGTCGGGGATTGTCAAAGATTGGCCTTATCTCTTCTCTGTCCAAGCGATCTGCTTGTTGGCCGTTTTATTGTTTCTTTTTTGACACTGTCTGAATTATGTGAGTGTGGCCGTTCACCTGAACCGTTTTGTTTTTTGTTTTTTGTTTTATTTTGTTTTGGTAAGTGTTTTAAGGTGCTCGCAACTGCATAAGGTCATATGAGTGCGCGGGACACATAAACATTTTCAGTCGGTAGGAAATTTAGATTTTGCCCAGATGACGGCCGAAGCCTATTTTTGTCCATTTTGGACCACCAGGGAACCATTAACTTGCGCAACTTGCACACGGGACCTCCAAGATTTTTCGCCTTCATCCGAAAAAGCGTGGTGTTCGATCTTACCTACAATAAGATCAGGGGTGTGGCTGAAAGAGCCAAGAAGTAGCAGTTGAAAGGCGGTCGAAAGAGTCACGAGCCCAGAAGAGGGGGCAAAGGAGGTGAGGAGGTGGAGGCAGAAAGAGAAGACGAAAGCAGAAGACAGAACATCATTAGAGAGCAGGAAACAAGGGGAAAGGAGACAATTTTAGAGAAAAAAAAGTTTCCATTGCTGTCCGGATTCGAACCCAGGACCTACTGAAAGAGAGGCGAACACCGTAACCTCTAGGCCATGAACCTCAGCTCATCTTAGCACAGGTGTGGCCGTAGGATCCAAATCACACACTTTTGAGTCCGTGGTAATTTATAACAACCTCAGAAGTAATAAATGATAACCTAGTCATTTGCTGGTTTGGGGATTTTCGCTTGCCTTTTCATAACGTGTTTATCTAAGATAACAAAATAACGTAATCCGATTAACGTATCTGCAATGGTTTGCAATAGCCTTTTTTCATTTCGGATTAAATATTTCTTAGAACAGTTTGTGAAAATTGCAGGATAAGTATTTTTTTTTATTTCATTAAAGTGGTTTCCCGAGACAGTTGGTTTTCAAAACGTGCACTTGCTATATATCTTTCTTCAATACAAAGGGCAACTCTCTAACTGTGCCTTCCAAGTGTGAAAGCTTTATATGTGGTGGGGGGAAAGTTTTAAAGTCTGGGACATTACAGTGATGTTGCTTTGCGTTTGTTTCAAAGAATATTTGTGTCATCTTTGCTGCCCATGGCAATTTGAGCATGCTTTTTTTTCTTTGCTCTCTGCATTCTGTTGCTTATGGAATTTGTAGGAGTTCAGCTGGTCTCGAAATGGATGTAAAGCAATTAATCAAAGCGCTTTGAGCACCAGTAGCCTAGCACTGGTGATGCTGTAAGAAGCACTTCCTAATAACATCAAACTCGGTCTTTAAGCCTCGATGCACACCTTTAAAGAGGCCTAAATCGTGAAGTCAGGGTCATAACGTCATAGAATTGACGATTTATTTCTAATAATCCCGATACTTACTAGCTGAAATCAAACAAATTAACTGCTTGTTTACTGAAGGTCATTCCTTACAATGCACCTACCAACATGCGTTGAGCGAATGATTTATAAGTCTAATGCAGAGACAATAAGTGATGTTACGTAGAGATCAGCCGAACGCTGATCTGTCTTTTGTTAACAAGCCCACGACGTCATTAATTGAGATTACTGGTTTAAAAAAGAGTCGACATGACATGTAATCCGAACCTCTGGGGTC